TAATTGTCTGTATTTCTTTGGTGTTCGTTGTGATCTCTCCTCTTTCATTCATGATTTTATTTATTTGGGTCCTTTCTCTTTTCTTTTTGATAAGTCTGGCCAGGGGTTTATCGATCTTATTAATTCTTTCAAAGAACCAGCTCCTAGTTTCGTTGATTTGTTCTATTGTTTTTTTGGTGTCTATTTCATTGATTTCTGCTCTGATCTTTATGATTTCTCTTCTCCTGCTGGATTTAGGGTTTCTTTCTTGTTCTTTCTCCAGCTCCTTTAGGTGTAGGGTTAGGCTGTGTACCTGAGACCTTTCTTGTTTCTTGAGAAAGGCTTGGACCGCTATATATTTTCCTCTCAGGACTGCCTTTGTTGTGTCCCACAGATTTTGAACTGTTGTGTTTTCATTATCATTTGTTTCCATGATTTTTTTTCAATTCTTTAATTTTCTGGTTGACCCATTCATTCTTTAGAAGGATGCTGTTTAGTCTCCATGTATTTGGGTTCTTTCCAAATTTCCTCTTGTGATTGAGTTCTAGCTTCAGAGCATTGTGGTCTGAAAATCTTATGATACTGGTTGAGACCTGATTTAGGACCCAGGATGTGATCTATTCTGGAGAATGTTCCATGTGCACTAGAGAAGAATGTGTATTCTGTTGCTTTGGGATGAAATGTTCTGAATATATCTGTGTTGTCCATCTGGTCCAGTGTGTCATTTAAGGCCTTGATTTCCTTGTTGATCTTTTGCTTGGATGATCTGTCCATTTCAGTGAGGGGGGTGTTAAAGTCCCCTATTATTATTGTATTATTTTTGATGTGTTTCTTTGATTTTGTTATTAATTGGTTTATATAGTTGGCTGCTCCCACGTTAGGAGCATAGATATTTAAGATTGTTAGATCTTCTTGTTGGACAGTTCCTTTGAGTATGATATAGTGTCCTTCCTCATCTCTTATTATAGTCTTTGGCTTAAAATCTATTTGATCTGATACAAGGATTGCCACTCCTGCTTTCTTCTGATGTCCATTAGCGTGGTAAATTGTTTTCCACCCCCTCACTTTAAATCTGGAGGTGTCTTCGGGTCTAAAATGAGTTTCTTGTAGGCAACATATAGATGGGTTTTGTTTTTTTTATCCATTCTGATACCTTGTATCTTTTGATTGGGGCATTTAGCCCATTAACATTCAGGGTAACTATTGAGAGATATGAATTTAGTGCCATTGTATTGCCTGTAAGGTGACTGTTACTGTATATTGTCTCTGTTACTTTCTGATCTACTACTTTTAGGCTCTCTCTTTACTTAGAGGACCCCTTTCAATATTTCCTGTAGAGCTGGTTTGGTGTTTGAAAATTCTTTCAGTTTTTGTTTGTTCTGGAGTCTTTTTATCTCTCCTTCTATTTTCAATGATAGCCTAGCTGGATATAGTATTCTTGGTTGCATGTTTTTCTCGGTTAGTGCTCTGAATATATCATTCCAGCTCTTTCTGGCCTGCCGGGTCTCGGTGGATAAGTCTGCTGTTAATCTAATATTTTTACCATTGTATGTTACAGACTTCTTTTCCTGGGATGCTTTCAGGATTTTCTCTTTGTCACTAAGACTTGTAAATTTTACTATTAGGTGATGGGGTGTGGACCTATTCTTGTTGATTTTGAGGGGGATTCTCTTCATCTCCTGGATTTTGATGCTTTTCCCTTTGCCATATTAGGGAAATTCTCTCCAATAATTCTTCCCAATATAACTTCTGCTCCCCTCTCTTTATCTTCTTCTTCTGGAATCCCAATTATTCTAATGTTATTTCCTCTTATGGTGTCACTTATCTCTCGAATTCTGCCCTCGTGGTCCAGTAGCTGTTTGTCCCTCTTTTGCTCAGCTTCTTTATTCTCTGTCATTTGGTCTTCTATATCACTAATTCTTTCTTTTGCCTCATTTATCCTAGCAGTGAGAGCCTCCATTTTTGATTGCACCTCATTAATACCTTTTTTGATTTCAACTTGGTTAGATTTTAGTTCTTTTATTTCTCCAGAGAGGGCTTTTATATTCCCGAGTGGCTTTCTCTAATATCTTCCATGCCTTTTTTAAGCCTGGCTAGAACCTTGAGAATCGTCATTCTGAACTCTAGATCTGACATATTACCAATGTCTGTATTGATTAGGTCCCTAGCCTTCGGTACTGCCTCTTGTTCTTTTTCTGTGGTGAATTTTTCTGCCTTGTCATTTTGTCCAGATAAGAGTATAGGAAGGAGAAAGTAAAATACTAAAAGGGTGGCAAAGACCCCAGGAAAATACGCTTTAACCAAATCAGAAGAGACCCCAAATCGTGAGGGAGGAGAAAAGGGATAAAAAGAGGTTCAGGAAAAAAAAAAGAAACAATTAAAAAAACAAAGAAAAAAACATCAAAAAGAAAAAAATATATATATATTAGATAAACTAGTTAAAAAACTTTAAAAAAGAAAAGGGTAAAAGTTAAAAAAAATTAGCAGAAGAAGAAAAAAAATTGAAAAAAATTAAATTAACTGCAAGACTAAAGAATCATGGGGAGAAAACCATGAGTTCCGTGCTTTGCTTTCTCCTCCTCTGGAATTCCGCTGCTCTCCTTAGTATTGAACCTGCACTCCTTGGTAGGTGAACTTGGTCCTGGCTGGATTTCTTGTTGATCTTCTGGGGGAGGGGCCTGTTGTAGTGATTCTCAAGTGGCTTTGCCCCAGGCGGAATTGCACCGCCCTTACCAGGGGCTGGGCTGAGTAATCCGCTCGGGTTTGTTTTCGGGAGCTTTTGTTCCCTGAATGCTTTCCATAGAGTTCTGGAGGACGGGAATGAAAATGGCACCCTCCCAGTCTCCAGCCCGGAGGAGCCAAGGGCTCGGGGCCCCACTCCTCAGTGAGCCCTCAGAGAATAGCGCCCAATCACCCCCGTCTCCTTGGCCTCCGGCCGCGCTCAGAGCTCACCCAGCCTGCTACCGGCTCAAGGTAACCCCGAGCTGAGAGCTCACTCCTCGGATCTGTCTCTGTAGCCAGCTTCCCCACTCTGATACCTGCAAGCTCCGCGACACTCAGACACCCCTCATCCTTCTGTGACCCTGCGGGACCTGGGGCCACGCTGACCCTGCGTGGGCTTCACCCCAGTTTAGCCTCTGGAGCGATGTCCCTCAGCGGAACAGACTTTTAAAAGTCCTGATTTAGTGCTCCATTGCTCCGCCGCTTGCTGGGAACCGGCCCCTCCCCCTGCGGTCTATCTTCCCGTCACTTTGGATTCACTTCTCCGCCAGTCCTACCTTTCAGAAAGTGGTTGATTTTCTGTTTCTAGAATTGCTGTTCTTCTTCTCTTCGATCTCCCATTGGATTTGTAGGTGTTTGCAATGTTTAGATAAGCTATCTAGCTGATCTCCTGCTACCTGATGTAATCTCAGCCTGCTACTTCTCCGCCATCTTGCGTAAACTCTCTTAATTAGTGTTTTAACAAAACAGACAACTTCACGCCTAAGGACCAGCAAGCAAAGAATGAATTAGTGTGGCAGCTAAGGTGGTCAGTTCTAATTAACATAAGAAATTAGGAGTGCCAATGCATAAATGGGCTGAAACACAGGAATTCAGAGCATCTTTAGAACTTTCTAGCTCAGTGACAATGCCATTGTCAATGGGCAACTGCAAATCATATACATTAACAAGGACAAGGCAATTAGATTCTTAATAACCATGTGGAATAAGGCTTGTGTCACTCCATTCAGGGGTAATTGGTGCAACTAAAGTCCTGGCTGAATGGGAGGGAAATATAGAAGGGGTAGTGTTTGAACGATCATGTTAAAATGTTCAGCCAAGGAAGTTTGGCAGTTACTTACAAAACTAACCATGCTCTTACCACATGACCCAGCAATTGTGTTCATTGGTATTTAAGCAAAGGAACTGAGAACTTAAATCGACACAGAAACTTGCACACTGATGTTTATAGCTGCTTTATTCATAATTGTCAAAACTTGGAAGCAGCTGTCATTTGGTAGGTGAATGGACCAATACACTATGGTTTATTCAGACAGTCAAATGTTTCAGTACAAAAAAGAAATGCACTATCAAGCCATGAAAAGACAGGGAGGAAACTTACATGATCACCAAGTGAAAAAAGCCATCTGAAAATGATCCTAACTCTTATGTTAGGATCCTAACATCTGATCCTAACTCTTATGACACTCTAGAAAAGAATGGAGGCAGTAAAAAATTCAGCAGTTGCCAGGGGTGGGAACGGTCGAGGACAGGTGAATAAGTAAAGCACAGAAGATTTTTAGAGCAATGAAAATATCTGTATAATATTACAATGATGGATGTAAGTCATTTTCCCAACCCATACAGTGTACAACATTAAGAGTGAACACTAAGGAGAACTATGGACTTTGGATGATTATGATATGTTAACATAGTTATAATAAAATAAAGTCTTCAAAAAATGTTCAACCATATCAATAGGGACATTTAAAGTAAAGAACAAGGTCACTTTTTCAGGCATTTTTAAACCAAAACCCTTCAAACAAGCACCTTGTTATCTTTTACTCCAATTCAACTATGGAAGAAAATAATATCTGGTATTTTCAATAACATTCACATAGTTGATGTCCTGCAAGACCGCCTAAAATTTTCAACATCACAGTGAAAAAAGATAAAGTTATGCTATTAAGTTGCTTTGTTCTTCACCTCTATTACTGAAGTATCTCCTGGAAAAACAGAATGGATGGTTTTTATCTCTTTTTTACAATTCAACAATTAAACAAGCATTTATAAAATATCTACTACAAACATGTGAGCAAAACCAAGAAAATATCTATTTTTTTCAAGGAGATAGTGATCAGAGAACTGAGCTTCCGAGAACAAAGGTTTCTAGGCTTACTGGCACTGTACCATGTATAAGCCTTCACTTAAATTCCTAACATCCAGTATTTCTTAAAAAAAAAAAAAAAATAACACACACCTCATTATCGATTACTAGAATATACCTTTTCAAAAATTTTCTTGAAAGCATTTTTTACTTCCTAATTCCTCAAGCTATAGATTAAAGGATTTAACATGGGAATCACCACTGCATAGAATACTGAGGCAAATTTGTCTTTATCCAGTGAGTGGCTTGACTTGGGGTGCAGGTACATAAAACTGAGGGTCCCGTAATATATAGTAATAGAAAACAGGTGAGAAGCACATGTAGAAATGGCTTTTTGTCTTCCTGCAGCAGAATGGATCTTTAAGATGGCGAAGACAATAAACACATAGGATAGGAGAACAGTGATTAGAGAACCGAACACATTGAACCCAGCAATGATGAACAACATCAACTCTTTGACTTGGGTGTCAGAGCAGGCGAGAGCAATCAAGGGAACATCATCACAGTAGAACTGGTTGGCCACATTAGAGTCACAGAAGGACATGTGGAATGTAGCCACTGCTTGTATGAGCCCCACGGTGAATCCGTAGTTGTAAGAGCTAGTGACCAACTGGATGCAGAGTTTCCTGGGCATGAGAATGATGTAGAGTAAAGGGTTGCAGATGGCCACATACCGATCATAGGCCATGACAGACAGCATGAATAATTCCCAGACTGAAAATGTGATAAAGCAGCCCACTTGAGTGGCACATGCATAAAACGGCATGCTTTTAATTTCTCATAAAGAGTTCACAAGGGTGTTTGGAGTGATGGCAGAGGTACCATAAAAATCAACAAAAGCCAGATTACAGAGGAAAAAAATACATAGGAATGTAAAGTTGAGGACTGATTTGGATGAGCACAATCAGACCAAGATTACCCAAGACAGTAACTAAGTAAATCAATAGGAAAACACAAAAGAGAGTGGCCTGAAGCTCCAGGTTATCTGTGAGGCCCAAGAGGACAAACTCAGTGACTGCCGAATGATTGCCTTTTGCCTGAAATAGATGAACAATAAATGATGAACGACAAATCTACAATAAACTCCCCTAGGGGACACACTCTGAATAAACTTCACTCTGTTAGGAATAAACAATTCAATGTGAGAGGATAGCCCTGGCGAGCCAGGGTGTTACGTTAAATTCAGCCAGAGCACAATCTTGATAAGCGTTCTGAATTATGGGTGGATTTTGCTTATGCTTTTAGCGTGAAAGGATTTGGTCCAGGCAGAAATTCCATGATATAAAGTTCACTAAGATGCTGAAGAAGAAGAAAGAGTATTTTGATCCAATTTTTATAATCAATACAATGGCAAAGTCTGTGTTGTACTTTTCTTTAAATATAAAGAAATAAAAAGGAACGTGAAGAATGCAAGTGGCTTTGACAACATATATCAAAATGATTTCTTAAGCTGTAGCTCATAAAATTATTACAGTTTCATCATTTCATAAGAATATTAAGAGTTACCAAAATCATGGGTAGAAAATATAAAATGAAAGCCAAAATCAAACTATTAGTACTATTTTTAGACATCCTGTTTGGTGTAATTTGCAATTATCTTCTTTTTACTTATCTCCATTTTTTTTTAAATACACATATACTGGTATCATGCTTAGTGAAATAAGTCAATCAGAGAAAGACAACTATCATATGATCTCCCTGATATGAGGAAGTAGAGATGCAACATGGGGGGCTTGGGGGGGTAGGAAAGGAATAAATGAAACAAGATGGGATCAGGAGGGAGACAAACCATAAGTAACTCTTAATCTCACAAAACAAACTGAGGGTTGCTGGGGGAAGAGGGGTCGGGAGAGGGGGCTGGTGTTATGGACATTGGGGAGGGTATGTGCTATGGTGAGGCTGTGAAGTGTGTAAACCTGGTGATTCACAGACCTGTATCCCTGGGGATAAAAATACATTATATATTTATTAAAAAAATTATAATTAAAAAAAGTAAAAAAAAGAAAGAAAAAATACACGTATACTATTAATACTAAGGAAATATAGGACTGTGATTTTTCTGGCTTTGTCTTTTGGCAAAATGCACACTAGAGAATAATTTTCCAGATTGTAAAACAGCTTTCAATGATTAGGAGACATTATTTTACCTTTTTTCTTTACGTGTCTAAATGGTCCAAAACGAATAGAATTGAAGCAGCATTTAGAACAGCTATAGGTTACAGAACATTTCCATAAACCTATGCTGGATTCTGAATGCACGAGAGCTGGTAGAATTGAAATCATCTCCCTTCCTTTCTTCAGCACAGCAGAGGGTGAGTTAACTTGATTTTCCTTTATCACTACATTGTCTCATGTTATTTCATATGGTCAGGACACAGAGAGTCAAGGCAGGTAAAAATAGCAAAATATAAAAAGCACTTTCCCCACTTAAATTTTGATTAATGTACCCATAAAAACTTTATCTTGGTTACTACTTTTATCTTTTCTCTTCCCTTCAGCACTTAAAAAAAAAAGATTTATTTATTTATTTATTGGACAGAGAGAGAGAGAGAGAGAGAGAGAGCACGTGCACAAGTAGGGGGAGCTGCAGGCAGAGGTAGGAGCAGGCTCCCTGCAGAGCAGGGATCCTGACATGTGGGTCAACCCCAGGACCACAGGATCAAGACCTGAGCTGAAGGCAGACACTTAACCCACTGAGCCACCCAGGCACGCCTTCCCTTCAGCACTTTCAACCAAACATCTTAAAACAGGCACCTACCCCCAATTTTTCAATCATATTTATGACTTAACCAGGTATAACCTACCTGCTTTTCCCATTAAACGGAGAAATCCCCTCACCAAGTTTACTGCCAACTTCCCTATTCCTAAATCCAAGAACCCCCCCCCCCTTTTTTTTTTGACAACTTGGTAGCATTAAACTCTATTGAATACACCTTTGGTTCCCAGAACAGAACAGTCTCTGAGTTTACTATGTGTCCATTTTGATTTTCTATCTTGGAGGCTCTGCTTCTATCACCTCCGCTTTAGACAACATGTTCTTCAAGCTCTCTCCAAAGCCCCCCACATTTTCCCTTTTAACTTTCTTTTTAGTGATTTTGACCAATCCTAAATCCTCAATAGGCTTCTATATGCTGATGATACATATGCAAGAGTATCACATGCAGAAAAGAACTTACATTAAACTTACATTAAATCTCTGTACATTGGACCTGATACTCGAAACCTGGAGTATATATTTTATGTCTTCAATGAGCAGTGCCATTATCCATTCAGTTTTCCAAATCAGAGACTAATCTTTACTTTGCTTTCCTGTTCCCTGTTGTAATATTCAATTTGCTCCCAGTATTTCTTTCACACTTTACATACTTTTCAGATCTGTTCACTTATACTGTTTCCTTGATCCAAATCACGATGACTTTTTGTTTTGTTTTGTTTGCAACTGACTCCTAATTTTTTTTTTTTTTAGATTTTGTTTATTTATTTGACAGACAGAGACCACAAGCAGGCAGAGAGGCAGGCAGAGAGAGGAAGGGAAGCAGGCTTCCCGCCGAGCAGAGAGCCAGATGCGGGGCTCTATCCCAGGACCCTGAGATCACGACCTGAGCCAAAGGCAGAGGCTTCAACCCACTGAGCCACCCAGGTGCCCCTGACCCCTAATTTTTAATCTTGACTCCAGTCTTTCCTATATCTTTCTGGTTCTCACATTTTAGCTTATATGAACTTTTAGAGATGTGGATGTCATTTTTATGATATAATCATTCAGTGTCTTCCCTTAGCTCTCAAGATAAAATTCTAAGGTCTTTAACATGGCTGAAATAACTCTAGAAAATCTAGTTCCAGCATCTCAGATCAGGCTGTGCTCATTTGATATTCATCAAATAGTGTTTATGTCACAGGTATTTCATATTTTTCCTAAGGTTTGACATCTTTCAATATTCAATACACAGTCATTCAGTGGAACTATAAACCCCTAAGTAGTCTGGTCTACTGCACCTGGAAGGAATCTTCGTGAAGCCAGTAACATTTAAAATTACCTAGGTGTTATGAGACAGTTTGTATTATGTGTGTATGGTCCCTCAGGAAGCTTTTTTTGGGAGTATTACATTATTTTTAAAAAAACACTGAAAAACAACATAATTATATATATTCAAAACAGGTAGTTATTTGATGTTTAGTGTTTGGGGACCAAGTTATTTCCCTTGAAATGATAGATCACCTTCTGGGCTATTACTTAATGGAAGAATCTAGGGTAGAAGAACAATTTAATTATCTCTTTTGGGAAAACAGTTTGATTAATTGCTATCTGTGCTTTGATTGTTTGTTATATCTGCTTTAAATTTTGTCACATTGGTTTCATATTAAAATTATGAATTTATTTAAAATAAATGCTCAGTTTGTGGGTCTTGGATTTAGTAGCAGCTTTTGAAAAACACTGGAAGATATTTGCGAATGACAGTACAGACAAAAGATTGATATCCAGGATCTATAAAGAACTCCTCAAACTCAACACACACAAAACAGATAATCATATCAAAAAAATGGGCAGAAGATATGAACAGACACTTCTCCAATGAAGACATGCAAATGGCTATCAGACACATGAAAAAATGTTCATCATCACTAGCCATCAGGGAGATTCAAATTAAAACCACATTGAGACACCACCTTACACCAGTTAGAATGGCCAAAATTAGCAAGACAGGAAACAACATGTGTTGGAGGGGATGTGGAGAAAGGGGAACCCTCTTACACTGTTGGTGGGAATGCAAGTTGGTGCAGCCACTTTGGAGAACAGTGTGGAGATTCCTCAAGAAATTAAAAATAGAACTTCCCTATGACCCTGCCATTGCACTACTGGGTATTTACCCCAAAGATACAGATGTAGTGAAAAGAAGGACCATCTGTACCCCAATGTTTATAGCAGCAATGGCCACGGTCGCCAAACTGTGGAAAGAACCAAGATGCCCTTCAACGGACGAATGGATAAGGAAGATGTGGTCCATATACACTCTGGAGTATGATGCCTCCATCAGAAAGGATGAATACCCAACTTTTGTAGCAACATGGATGGGACTGGAAGAGATTATGCTGAGTGAAACAAGTCAAGCAGAGAGAGTCAATTATCATATGGTTTCACTTATTTGTGGAGCCTAACAAATAGCATGGAGGACATGGGGAGTTAGGAGAAGGCAGTTGGGGGAAATTGGAAGGGGAGGTAAACAATGAGAGATTATGGACTCTGAAAAACAATCTGAAGGGTTTGAAGAGGTCGGGGGGTGGGAGGTTGGGGGAACCAGGTGGTGGGTATTAGAGAGGGCATGGATTGCATGGAGCACTGGGTGTGGTACAAAAACAATGAATACTGTTATGCTGAAAATAAATTAAAAAAAAAAAACACTGAACAAAAATCAGTTTCTCAAGGAGCAACATCAAAAGCTTTCGTCTGAGATTAATGTTTCAAACTGTTGTTATGATTGACATTTCAATTCAACAGCAAAGATGAATTTAAAAGAATGTTGATTTTCTTCTTCCATCTCTAGAAAACTGAGTGCAAAAAAAAAAATCACAGGGTACTTGATACCTTGTTGTAATCACTCCACAGCATTGGATCAATCGCTTTATCTAAATTTGCTTTAGATGAAAACCAATAGTGTCCACAGGGCTGGTGAGGCTGGCTGGTGTGGCTGTTCAGCCTCAGCACCAGCTGTGCAGAACAGAAAACAGATGAGGTATGAAGTAGTATCTCATTTTGGTTTTGGTTTGCATTTTTCTGATGACTAATGATGTTGAGCATCTTTTCATGTGCCTATTTTCTGTTCATGCACCATCCCTGAAAGAATGTCTATA